AAAGTTAAACATGAAATGTCAAAGTTAACTTCAACTGGCCCTTCGAGGGCCACCATAACGCTCATGTGGCTCTCGGTGAAAAAGGAGTTTGACAGCCCTGGTTTAAAGCCACAAAACAAGTTAATTTATTTTAAATCTTTCTTCAGAGAACAAACATTTTCAAAGTGCCTCTGGAACAATCAGCATATAGATTATTCTGAATCTGAAATAATCTGGTCGAGCAGTGAGGAATGAGTTCTTCGTTTCACTCAAAGATGGAAAAAATGGTTCATTTTAGAAAAGTGAGGCTCAGATAAAAATGCAGCGAAACAACAAGGCAGCAAAATGATTAAATATAAATATAAATAAGATTGAACAGACTGATGTGAGGAATAAAACATTCTGACTTTCTCTGATGTGTGAAAAACGCATCATAAAGAGCTGCCGTCAGGGATGAGGGGCACGTTTTCCAAAGACTTTGTGGGAAAAACAGCATGAAATGAAAGGAGCTGAAGAACCTGAAGAGACTGAATAACTGAGGAGCTGCTGGTTAAACTACGCTGTTTGACTTATTTAAGACAGATCCAGTCCAGTCCTGATGGTGGTCAGAGGGTCTGGTGTCTCCGGTGCAACGAGAGCCTGTAGCTCTGCTCATAATCCAGGCYGAGTGAAGGAGGAGCTGCTGACACGAGCAATAAGCCAAACAGCAGAACCTCAGCTGGACAACAAAAAGCTTACTGCCGTTGCTTTAATAGGAAAGCGGTGCTTTGAAGTCACTTTTCTTTTGGCCTGAATTYACAACTCAAACTCTTTTGTAGCCATCAGGAAATCTGAACTAATCAGCACTAATCAAGCCAATCAGCAAAGAAAACACCTGGATCGGACCGCTTCCACCTGCGAGGCAGACGCTGTCCCTCCTATCGATGTTGGTGGAAAAGGACCGCGGTGTCGCCGTTTAATTCCAGCTCCCTCCTCCTCCTGTTTCCACAGAGACGTTACCGCAGGAGAGCAGGATATTAATCACTGAATTAATTATCACGGGGCCGCCTCGAGGGAGCAGAATGGGAGTATTAACCCTTATTAAGAGACAGAGAGCAAGAAAAAGGAAAAGGAAGTGCTATTTCCAGCTCTGCCTTTCCTGTCAGAGCCGTGTCAAGAAATTTGTAAAAACCATCCAGATGAAGAAAGAGGGAATTATATTTCTGAGAGAGGACGAGCCAAAGTTAGAAACACCACAAAATCAGGAGGAACTCGCTCTAAAAGGGATGTTAAAATTTTTTTAAGGGTAAAAGTCTTGAAGGAAGGGTCGTGTGCATGGAATGTATAAAAAATATTTTACAATAAATAAAAAATGTTTTCTCCTCAGAACACGTAAACTTTCATTTATTATAAGACCAGGATTTTTATGAAAGGGTATTTTTAAAGACAATAACTCACATTACTATAAACTTTATGGACTTTTCTGAAAGAATATTGAGTAAAATTTAGAGAAAAAAATCTTCAGAAAATAAACTAAAACATTAATATGGAATTAATCAATATGCAATGTTTTATTTTCTGTTTTCTCCTCTCATTAAATACATTTCTAATAAGTTTTTATTTATAAACAAAAGGCCATTTAAAAAGCCTCACTCAGTTTCTGGAGAGTCAAACTCTAGGCCCGCGGGCCAAGTGTGGCCTTCAATACCATTTTTTACGGCTCTGAAGTAATACTTTAAATTCCTCTGTATTTAGGGCATTCACTTTCAAGCCAAGAAAATTACAGTTCAGTTTTTCAGAAATCTTTTATTCTGGTGTGAAAAGAGTGACAGAAACATAAGTTTAATMTTTTTTTATCCACTAGGTTTTGTATGTTCTAAATGCTATATTAAACATAATTCGGAAAAAAATCCTTTGTTGTTCTGTAAGAATAATCTATTCAATAACATTTTTTTTTCAATAAATATTAACAGAAATTTGCTCTTGATCTGGACCAGATTTTGAATTTTGGCCCACTTGTGTCATGAGTTTGACCCTGCTGTTCTAGACTAACCTGAAACTTTTATTTAAAACAAAATTGATTCCCTTTTTTGTCTTATTGCGTCGTTTATTTGTAAATGAAATAGTTTGAATATAWCAGGACTTTATTGTATTGTTTCCTGTTTTACCTGAGTCAATTTTACATGAAACAATTATGGAGAAAAAAAATCTCAATATGTGACCAATGCTAGTCTGAGCGAGGTCAAGGCCAGTGGTGTCTTAAAGGGGACATATTAAAAATTCACTTTTTAGTTATTAAATATATTTTGTTGTGGACTTGGAGTCTCTAGGAGGCAGAAAAGTTTAATTCAGTCTCTCCCGGTGTTGCAAAGATATCTTTATGTTCTGTTTGGGTCATATTTTTCAACCTGTTCTCTATTCCCTATCATTGAGCAACACGTCATAGTATGTGCTGCAGAACTTCTAAACAAGCTCCTCTGCATGTCGCCCTGTCAGGTCAGGCCAGAGGTGGAGTGGGGTGGTTCTGTGCCGATGGATTGGAGGNGTTGGGGGGAGGTTGGTGAAATTAGCAGTGACAGGTAGAAAACAGACGAGGACCAAAGCCAGAGACAGAGCGGGGGTTGAAATGTAAACTCTCCATTCTGATGCCGACATTGTAGCACAGCTTTAAAGCCCTTATCTGCAGCACACAGGCGGAGACGTGGCGGGCAGTGGGGGGGCRGGGTTATGGCGGTTGGTGGAGGGTGGTCAAAGCAGGAGCTCTCCTGGATAAAATGGTGCTTAATCACAGACAGACGCCCACTATAATCTCGTCTACAGGTTGCTTACGTGAGGTCGGGCTACAATTTGAAAGATGCTTTAATGTGCCTCCGGATCCTCCATCTCGTGTGTTTCTTTGTTCTCCTCTGGTAGGGGTGGGGGGGTGCGGCTGAAAGATACAGGCTCATTTGGTTGTCCTTTCATCTCCCAATATCTTACCAACTCTATTACACCACAACATCCATAAGGGCTTAACAGATGCAATGATTCATGTTAAAAGCTGATATAGGAGACATTCTAGCAGCTGCTTAAAATAGCCGGCGAGCAGGAACTTTAAGCTTGACAAAGCCATTCAAAGTGCCGAGAAAAGCCTAGAAAGATGAGAAACCACTGAAATTACAAGCCTTACCAGTCTATGGGCTTCACTGTGTCTCAGAATAGAAACAAACAGGAAGCCTGATCTTTGACGGCAGAACAAAGATTCCTCCGAGCAGCGCAATTAACTGCACGGGATCGTTTCTCCACCCTTCTACCAACGTTTACCGGTCTGCAGAGTTTTATCTTCTTTGGAACAAGGGGGGAGAAGTGGCACGCTTTGAGACAAAGAAACCACATAACTCAAGCTCAACAACACACGCCGAGACAACCCGACTCGTGTACGAACAAAAAACAGATAGACGGTGAGGAACAACCAGATAATGAAGACAGACTCAATCAATACCAGCAGACTGGTGTTTGTTTCTAAATACATCATGACTAAAGCACACAGAGCAACACAGAAACACAAACACAGAAAATAACTCTTAAATATTATATTTATGCATCTAAAACCACAGTTCTCATGCAGCTTATATGAAGCAGCTCCTGCCTCRCTCACAACCTGCTGCTGGTGCATCTGAGACCTGAACATCACTCGTTCACCCTGTAATGGGCTCAGCACCAAGAGCCAACATCTCTCTCTCCATTCAGTTCTTATGGAACTTGAGAGATGAGGCGACATTCGCTCGCCCTCCTCCAGCCAAGCGACCGGCGAAACTCATTCACGTGAATCTTCCCTCTCACGCTGGCCTTCGACGCGACATGATAGTTGAAAAATGTTCCATTTTTGTCGCTGTCGCATGGCGCTACAACCAATCAGCGAGGGACTCGTTGACTGACCAATGAGAGGAGAGTAGGCTGCACACTGCAGTTAGCTAACACTTTCAACGTTATTTCAGATCTGTCAAACTTACAATTTTATATGACATTTCACAGGTGATTACTGAGATACACATAAAAAAGGCAGCCATGTGATAATTTGTTGGTGCCAGGGTGACATCTAGTGTTTCCCCTACGATTATGCAGGTAGGGCTCCCCCCCCCACCCTCGACACACCTGACTGAAATAAACAAGTGATTGACAGGCTTCTGCTAAACTTGATGGCATTCTGAGTAGGTGCGTTGAAGCGAGGAAACATCTGAACCATGCAGGATGGTGGGCCAGGTGTACCATGCAGGATTGTAGGAGGAAAGAGCTACAAGGTGAGTCAAAAGTCTCAGGACACCTTTTTATTACAGAAACGACAGAAAATTTAAATACCTGAAAACCCCAGCAAGTAATGGGTGAGGGGGTCTTTATTCTAGGCTAAAACCAGAACATGTCTGCCATCTTGAACGCTGCCATATCTGATCAAAGTAAACTGTTTCCAATGGTAAGGAGGTCATATAGCACATCATTTTAAGGGTTTGATGTGAACAATGGAGGCTCTTTGGCCACTCACACCTATATCGATGTGATTGTTCAAACAGTGATCACCAGTACCCTGCAGCCATCAGTCCCCATGACTCGAGTCCAGAACACCTTTGCTGGGTTGTGAGTGAGACATTAAATGAAAGAAACAGTTTCCAGCTACTTAAAGGGATGAAAAAGGTGATAATAATCTGACATCTTTAGATTAAACTTTGAAGTTTAATGCAGGATAAAGACACGGTTGAATTGCTTTTTTTTTTCAGAACCTCCTTGTTTTTGTGCCAAGGATGTTCAGAGAGGCTGAACGACACACTGATGGGGTTTCCTCCACACCTCTGTCACAAACTGCTGCTTGTCACAGCGGGGTGTCAACACCCGTTCAGCTTCCATCTACATCAATCAAACTTGCTTCAAATATTGATGAAGGACTTAATTGGATTGACAGACGAGGGATTTAACCGCGCAACACTCAGACGAGCGTCAGCGCCGAGTTATCTGTGTGACCGGCCGCACAATCCGGTCTGACAGGATGTCGAACGGTGATTATTTTTGGCCTTGAAGGTCATGTGGTTAGCGTGCTGAATGAGTGCGTCTTACCTGGGGGAGATGTCACAGCCCTGCTGCATGAAGGCGCCCAGGGAGAACCAGAGAGAGTTGAAGATGCCGAACTCGTTGGGGGGCTGGTCGCTTGGCGGACCGTCTGTGCCCTCCTCGGGCTCCTCGGTGTGCCATTCGTACGGGCTGAAGCGGCTGACCAGGAAGAGCACCACGCTGACGCCGATATAGGCGAACACGATGCACATCCAGATCTCGTAGGCCAACGGGTCCAGGAAGGAGAACACACCCGGCTTAGACTTTTGGGGCTTCTTGATCATGATGGAGATGCCGAGCGACATGAAAGGTTTTGAGAAATCAATCACCTCCTCCCGGACCAACGTGATGGTCAAAGGGGCCACGGCAATTTCCGCTTTCTGCAGGGATTCAGGAGGAGAGGAACTCGATTAGAACATCTCAGATGGATCAAAACCGCTTCACAAGAATCACTGGGAGGATAAAATCATACAATAACCGATCCCACCACCTCTTTGCTCTGCAGCTGCAGAAAACTGCAAACTTGTTCGCTGGAAATCCACAAACCAGATTACAGTTGGTGCCTGAGCAACCCTGCCCGCCAGGCTTGGAAGCAGGGGGCTTACTCTTAGTGAGAATTTGAACTTTTATTACGACCATCTGACTCATAGAATGAAGAAAATTGAACTGGAGGAGAGAAAATGAAAGAGATTTAAGTTCTTACATCCTCAGCAAAAAGCACTAAGACGACGGCCTCGGGGCATTAATGTTCACTAAAATACACGGCGGGTTAAAGAGGCAGAGGTTTTTTATTTATTTATTTATTTATTTTTTAAGTGGCGGTTCATGTCTTTTCAGAGCGAGGTGAGGAGAAATGAACGGTCTGTTGAAAAGTCTTAAAATGGAAAGTGCTGACGCTTTTCATGTTCTCACAAGAACTACGTTTTTCACACTTTCCAGTGATCGAGACCAGATTTATGCTTTGAATCTTCACTCAAAATCTGTTTTTTTCCTTTAACCTTCAAACTATGTGAAAATTATAGAAAGGAGAACTTGCAAAGCCTCCATCTTTAGGTTTAACAGGAAATCTTAGGTGGTAGACGAGAGGAAGAAGTACAGGAGCATTATTATGGACTGGGATTAAGAGCCGTACTGACAGAATACAACACTTTCCTTTAACAAACTTGTAAAGTAATTTGGCTCTTCAGTCAAAAATAATTTCTCAAACTGAGTCTCTGCTCCAAGAGCTTTTAAAAAAAGACAGAAAAATAAAGCTCAGAGCTCCCCTTGGTTATTCTTCACATTGTAAGCGGACCGTGCCGCCTGATCAGTCCCGACATATCCCAAACTGTGACTGAGCTCGCTGTGGTCGCTTCACCGTGAGTCACAGAGGCAAACAAGAGGCAAGAAGGAAAATGAGAGAAATGACACTTAGCTGACCCCACAAACATAAAAACAAAACAACAACAGTTTTTTTGTCTTGTATGTTTCAAACAGAATGCTGCAGCTGCATAAAATAACGGCTTCAGGTCAAAAAAAGCTCAAACTTTGTTGTGAAAGATCTGGGACAAAAATGGTAACATTTTTCAGAGAAGTGCTAAATTCTCCAGCTGTGGAGGAAGACGAGGATGATCTTAACAAAAACGAGGAAGCTGAAAAAATTCACAGAGAATTGGAGGAAAAGACGGAAAATCTGCTTAGCATGAATACTAATATTAAAGCATGATGGAAACAGAAGCTGAGATGGACACAGGCAATAAAAAACAATTCATGTATGCAGATGATAAGTTCCTGTCACACTGTAATGTTTTAGACAACTTATAAAAATGTTTTAATGTCTAAAATGCTAATAAAAGTTATAAATTTGATCAATTTGTTAGCATTATAGTATGTACACACCTAAAAGAGACTTCCAGCTGATTTGTTTAACCCCATCTTCAATGTAGATGTTATTAAAATTGTCATAAGTTGGCATAAGTTGTCTAAAACGTTATAGTGTGACAGGACCTTATCATCTGCAAATGTGAATTGTTTTCTTTAACAACTAATGTGTTGCCTCTGTGTCCATCTTAGTATGTGTTTCTGTCATGCTTTAATATTAGCATTCATGCTAACCATTTTCAACCTCTTTTTCCTCCAGTTCTATTTGCTCAAACATATTTGTAACATGCACAAAAAAGGAGGTAAGATCGGTGCCGATTCATCATCAACAAGACGGCAGCAGAACTTAAAGTTTCATTCAAGTCATTCCTAGATTTTTTCATTTCACAACGCACAGTTAAAAAATGTCATTTTTGTCTGATATTGTGAAGCTCTACATCTGTTTATCCAGTAAAATCTGTTTTTAGGTTAAAAAAAATCCCTTGAAACCTCCTTTATTATCTCATACCTTTGCATCTTTTTTGATCCACAGCAAGGTCAACAACAGAAACACGCATCACTGCCAAATCAAATGCCACATCTTTAACGAGCTTTAACAAGCTGCACACCTCCGCTTCTCCTCTTTAACCCCATCAAAGCTCTGCCGCCGCTGCTGCTGCATACCCCCCACCCCAGTTAATACCACCTTACTGCTCACAGTTTCTGTTCAGGCGGGTTTAATTATCGACGACAAACACATAAAAACTGCGCTTTGCATCGTTTGACAGTCCAGGATTATCTTTCATTTCACAAAAAAATCTGGATATAAGAACATTATTTACCTGTCCAACAAACAGAAACCTATTTTTCCTCAGCAGTTTGAAGAAAACAGGAGGATTTGTGACCTAACTGAACAAAACCAGCATTTAAAACAGTTCTGACATCAATAATATTTTAGCACTTGAAGCTAACAGTTGAGGCACTGAGGTTTGGATTTACAGAGGATGGTCTCACAATAAATACCCTGCAGGATAATTACTTTGAGTTTGTTAACCTCTGAATGTGAAGCTGCTGATGTTTTAGAAACATAGCAGAATTATTCCTGCCTGTGCAGGCAGACGTGCAACAAGTTGCTCCGTTTCATCTCCTGAGACAAAACTAACTGCATGCTCTGAACTTTCTGCATGAAACGGCAGAATGTTGCATTTTCTCCACACCTTACTGCAACAGGAACAGTCTAAGAAACAAACAAAGAAAAAAAACCTGAAGACTTTGCTTCTAAAACTCCCCAAATCCCAACCTCATTAAACACTGCCTGAGCAGCCGAATCAATAGGACCCCAAAAACCACAGAGTGCTGCTAATGTCCCACAGCCAGACACCACGGGACACATGCAGGTATTTCATGTCCACAATTCAACAATCGGAGCAAAACTGGGCTTCAGGAGAACCAAAAAAATATTAGGTAGGAGGGGTTTTAAAAGAAATACAGAAATTTTAAGGCTGGAGCTGAGCAACAGCTTCCAGGAGATGAAAAACGCTTTGGGTTTTGTTGGCCTCGTTAGAAGTTTGTTGCTCGTTTCCTGTTTTGGTTTTTCGTTCTGTCTCCTTCTAGAGAGGCACGAGGGATGCAAAAAAAACCCTAAGATTTGTGAGCTTGATGTCAGAACAGTATAAGAGGATATAAATGTCAGAACAAAAATATAGCAGCTGCATATTTCACTGCAAAAACTGTCCATCCAACCAAGTCTTACAATACTATATCCAGTCAAAAAAGTATTTTTGATCGTATTTTGAGACTGATAAGCAAGAGCAGAATGTGTTTGATTATTAATGAAGTTAGTCTGAAAGTCTTCCTGCACTGGAAGATTATTTCACTTAAAGATTCAGACTCAAATTAAGTGAAATAATCTGCCAAGACTTCTTGAAAAAAAGGAAAATTTCTGTGCTTCACGTGTTCCTTCTGAAACCTGATCAATTAAAACCAGGTGTTGAAGCAGGAAAAGACTCAAAACCAACGAGAAGTGAAAAACAGTAAAAAGGTGAACCTACCCCGTACACCAGCTCCCCAACCATGCCGTTCCAGATCTTCGTCTCTGGGTCCCTGGCGCCGTACTTCCCGTCGGGGACGATGGAGATCTTGTACTTGATCCCAATATGTTTGGCGATCTCCGAGGCCAGGTCCACGCAGTAGCCCTCGTACTGGTCGTTCCCCTCGTACATCTCCCAGTTCTTCTTCTGCATGACGTAGGGACCCTCCTACAGAGAGGGAACCACAAACCAGGGAACCAAACCATCAGACAAGCAGAGACCAGTGGGTCTGAGAGGACGCCAACTGTGGCTCGAACATCAAGTGGGATGACCAACGTTTATCATTTTAAATCCCTTTGTGGAGCTCTGAAGCAAAGATCTGTGTGTTCATCCAATGACTGGGTGAAATAAATCTAAGACCCCACTGTGAGGTTTTTCCAATGAGATGATGCCGTTTAATTAATCTTGTTGAGAGGACTGACCATGACAGATAAACACATTTTTGGATGTATAGAGAACTAACTCAGCAGTTTCTACTTCTTGATTCCAATAATCAGTTTCTCACCAGGATCTGATCTGATGTCTGATGACGACTAGGTGGTGGTTCAAAATTATAAGTTTTTTTCCCGATAATTATTGTTCCATACTTTCCTAACAGAGCACTTCGCACTCAGACTGCAGGTTTACTTGTGATTCCTCGAGTTTCTAAAGGTAGAATGGGAGGCAGAGCTTTCAATTATCAAGCTCCTCTCTTGTGGAATCAACTTCCAGTTTCTGTCCATGAAGCTGACACTCTGCCTACTTTTAAGATTAGACTGAAAACTTTCCTTTTTGATAAATCATATAGTTAGGCTTGGGTTTCCTGAGTTATCCCTTAGTTCTGCTGCTATAGGCTTGTTAGACTGCATTTTTTGTGTGGACTGTACATTTGAACTAAATACTAAAATTGTATTTTTCTGGTAGTTTTTCCACAAGAAGAAAATGTTAATTTTGTGGACTGTAAAGCTAGAATAAATATTTTCATGTGGGTATTTTATTCTTTTTGTGAATATTTTCCCAGCAAAGTCTTTATTTGCTTTGATGAATTTTCAACTTATTCAATTTAGGTCATTTATTTAAGCCGTTACATTTTTGGAGCACAGTAATGTCTATGTAAGCGTGTGTTTAAAGTCAGGTCTATGAGCTACAAGTTAGAAATGTATATTTCCAATAACTCAGTAAATGTGGTGAAGCTAAGATGTCCCAGCTTTTCACCAGCTTTGAATGCACCATTACATGTGTGAATCTGCCACGGTAAAAAAAATCTCAAAGGTCTAAATCTCAGGTGAGCTGATCTGTGCATTTGTGCTCAGTCAAATCTTTCTGAGAACAATTTCAACTTAAAAACACCACAGTAGTGTTGTCAGGATCCTCAGTCCTAAAACCTCTGGTTATTTGGTCTAAATCCAGCTCACAACTTCATCTTAAATCTGTGGTTACTTTAAAACATCTTTGATGCAATCATCAAAGTTTTGAGGTGTCATTAATGTGTCTGATGTAAGGAAATCCTTTGAAAAATACATAATAAATGAAACTGAATTACATTGTTGTAAAAAAAACCCCACAAAGAACACCAATACCTTGAAAATGATCCAACCAAATGTAGCCTTTGTTTAAAATCAGCCATGTTGTTCTGTTCTAATCAAGGACATTCAATCGTCAGTGCTTTTCAGCTAAAACTCAAAATGAGGAACAGCTGCATTAATTTAATACTTTAAACTCAAACAACTTCACAATTTGTCCCTAATGACCCGTTCACGAACACTCAGTTACTGAGCAAGGTTCTCGCCTGACACCTGGGAAYGATTTGGACTTCTGTCTCACTCAAGGACACTTCAACAAGAGGACAAGTGGAGCTGCAGGGTCAAACCAACAACCATGTAATTAGTGAGCGGCTTGGTCTACTTCCTGAGGCGGGAGCTGAATTAGCGTCACAAACAGAGTGTGACGGTAGAGTTTGTTAGTGAACGTCATCCATCGGGTAATTAAAAAAAATCATTTATCTGCAGATCTTCATTTAGACTCAACAATGTTTAGGTTTTTAATTAAAAAACTAAACAATACCTGGTCTTCAGGACTAATGGATCATTTTAACCAAACAATACGGTATCTGTAATGGACTGGAGACATGTCCAGGTGTCTCTGTAATGGACTGAAGACATGTCCAGGTGTCTCTAACAGTCTGAGGACATATCCATGTCTCTGTAATGGACTGGGGACATGTTCAGGTGTCTCTGTAATAGAGTGGAGACATGTCCAGGTGTCTCTGTGACAGTCTGGTGACATGTCCAGGTGTCTCTGTAATGGACTGGAGACATGTCCAGGTGTCTCAGTGACAGTCTGGGGAAATGTCCATGTCTCTGTAATGGACTGGGGACATGTCCAGGTGTCTCTGTGACAGTCTGGGGACATATCCAGGTGCCTGCAATGAACTGGAGACCTGCCCAGGTGTCTCTGTAATAGAGTGGAGACATGTCCAAGTGTCTCAGTGACAGTCTGGGGACATGTCCATGTCTCTGTAATAGACTGGAGACATGTCCAGGTGTCTCTGTGACAGTCTGGGGACATATCCAGGTGCCTGCAATGAACTGGAGACCTGTCCAGGTGTCTCTGTAACAGACTGGAGACATGTCCAGGTGTCTCTGACAGTCTGGGGTCATGCCCGTGTCTCTGTAATGGACTGTGGACATGTCTAGGTGTCTCTCAGATAGATTGGAGACATGTCAACAGGTAAACAAACAGACACGTTACTTTGACACAATATTATTTTATGATGTTAAAAAATTTGTTTCTTGTACATTTTTATTTGTCAAAAAACAAAGTATATTGATGTGTAGTACATGTACACAACACAATTTACAACATTTTCAACAGCTAAATAGGTTTTATGACCTTTATTTAATGGAAAAAACACCAAAAAATGTCTCTTAACTGTAAAATTTTGCAAATCACTGCTCCGAACTTGAAATGTTTAGTCAAGCTTTTAATTTGAAGGTTTTTACAGTCTGAGTTTGATGAGTGTGACAGGATGTGCTGATAATTTAATGCTGCTGAAAAAAATTGACAGATTCATGCTGTTTTTATAGAGCGTCAAGGAGACCCGAGTTAAATAAAACTGTTAACGTGAGGCTGAGAGGATGAAGGAAAGCATGACTAAGCAGAAAAGAGGGCGCAGAAATAAAGCAGAAGTGACAAATGAGCTGCAGTCAGAGCGGATGACTTATTACCAAAAACAGGCTCGACATGAACACAAAGTGATCGTGGGGGGGGGAAGGGAGGGGGTCCATCCCTCCACACTGAGACCAGTTCTGCATCAGTAGATTTTCTGCTCCTTCAGAAAAAAGAAAAAAAATCTAAATGCGAGGCTGGCGTTGGTTTTTCTCTGCTCGTGTTCCCAAACAAATTACTTTTGTCGTGGAACGCAGCGTGTTGCGTACCAACAATGAGAGCAATTTATTCTGGAGATGTGTTTGCTTGACATCGCCCGAGCAGGGAGGAAAAAAAGGTAAAGCAAAGAGTCCTCAGTGCTGGACTGAGTCTGCAGCAAAAACTAAATATTACTATGAAACATAACGACAAAGCAGCGCGCCGGTGTCCCGTCAAAATAAAAGCGTTTGAGCTCATAAGTACGTTTCACTGATTTTACAAGGAAATTACTGTGATTGTGATTCTGTAATTGTAGCACGGGTAATTAGCTGATGCAAATGATGGTGCAGGAATAAGACCAGACACTGTGGAAGTCAGACGTGTCATCACAGGATGAACTTCATATTCATTTTTAATGATTTATTTGAATCTTTTTTTTTCTCCACGATTGAAAGATTTTACAATTTTTATAGATTTTAAAAACATGAACTGAATTTATTGTAGATTTTCTTTAATCCACACTGATGACTTCAAAATGCCCCAATTGTTCTTTGTTAAGTCACCAGGTGTAGCTCGATCACAGGGTTCTTGTTTACATCATCTGGCCCAGTTCTGGCCCACACAACACACCAACACTCAGCCCAGATACCGCAAAGAATGACGGCCCTTTGGTGGTCCAGACGGTTTGTCCGAGGTGCTCCATGCATGGGCCACATCACATAAACCAAACCACGGCCGGGCCAGCTGTGGCACTGACAGATTTGGGCCACATAAACCAAACCACAAATGGACCAGTTGTGGCATTGACAAATTTGGGCCACATAAACCAAACCACAAAAACTATAACAGCTCAAACATCACTTAAGGCCAGATGTTAACATTCATGCCTTTTAATAAATGAGTTTATAGTCCTAGTACTTTTTTTCGTTTAAAGTCTTTCACAGACATTTCATTAAAATCACAACAAATTATCTTCTTGTGTAGACAAAGGGCGCACTGTCACGCAAAACTTCCAAAAACACTCGTCAAACCAAATTAAAGTCAGATTTAGTCAAAATGCTGCTTATTCTTCTAAAATACATATGTTAACCACTCTGTGGGATAAAATATTTTGTAAGATGAATAAAAGCCATGTTTGGAAGCAGTTGTCCAATCTGCAGCTGCTTCCTTTAAATTTTTCTGAGAATTTATCATTTATGGGAGAATTTATCCATCACTCCACCAAGGACACAAAGGTGGAGCAGGATTTAGTCACCTCCTAACTCTCACTGCAGCTGAGAGGCTTCTGAGGCTTTTATGATTCCTCTGGATGCCCTGCAGCCATTCCCGAGGCGACGCAGAAGCAGCTCTGGGCTCTGTCAAAAATATCCACCTAATAATAATATTCCTGACAGTCGCTGGTCACACCTGACCAGGTGTCAGTCTGTAGTTATTAGCCTAATGAAAGATTTATAACCAACACTCTGAAAACAAGGGACTACAGGTGGAGCTTGTACGAAGAAGTCCACATATTGTTTCAGTTTATAGACAGTGACCAGAAACGATAGTAAAAAACAATGTTAAATCATAAAAATCAGATTATAAACATGATTAGTTTGAATTTGAAGACCTTCTACTGAATTTTGTTTGTTGCACTTTTAATGAATCGTTTAAAAGATGACGGCTTAATTTACAACATCTGCCAAAGATGTTGGAGCATATGAGAAGGTAAACAGTTCTAATCCATATGATTTATGACAGCAGGGAGTGACAGCCGGAGGGGAGGAGGTAAAGGATGCAGTCTGTGTTTCTGGCACGAGAACACAGCGATGCTTCACGGGTCT